TCGTGCAGTTTATGTAGTGACGTTAACACGAGACGCTGATTGGCTGCATTAAAAATTTTATTACGTAATAATTAGGGATGCACGGCCGTGCGGGTGCACGATTTTCATTTTCCCTATAAAAAAAATGTTATCGATTTTAGTGATTTTAAGTAAAATAACTCACGGACTGAGGTGTAAAAATAATGCGAAAAAAACACATAAAAAAAGTCTGCTTGCACTCCCTGCTGCTTGGTGCATGACCTTTTAAAACATTTATTTCTACCTGTGTTATATTCAATAAATACATTGATCTGTTATAAATGTCAGAAGAAATTATATATAAATATAAATGGACTACTTAAACTGTCATCACTTCTTTGTTAAACTACACTTTTCAACTAACTCTTGGTAATGTAATACTAATACTGGGTAAAAGAAGACTTTTCAGTCTTTGCCAAAGTCTTGCTCCTATATTTTCAACCTTTTTATTCCAAAGATCCAAAGAAGTCTGAGTGGAACTCAATGCCATATTTTTACTATTCCAAAGATCTAAAGTCAAAGAAGGGTGTGATCTTAGGACATTTGCTAATGCTGTTATTCCTGCATTACCAATATGGTTATTAAGGAGATTCAAAGAAGTTAAAGAAACATTTGATTCCAGAGATCTTGCCAAAGCTATGGCTCCTGCATCTCCAATATTATTCTGCCAAAGATATAAAGAAGTTAGAGAATGATTTACTTCCAGACTCCTTGCCAATGCTGTTGCTCCTGCATCACCAATATTATTTGATTTTAAATTTAAATAAGTCAAAGAGAAATTATGCTCCAGTGCTCCTGCTAAGACTATTGCCCCTGTATCACCAATATTATTTGATTCCAGATTTAAAGAAGTTAAAGTTGAATTATTTTCCAGGGCATTTCCCAAGGCTGTTGTCCCCATATCCCCAATCTCATTATGCCAGAGATTTAATGAAGTTAAGGAAGAATTTGATTCAAGTGCCTCTGCTAGAGCTATTGCCCCCAGATATTCAATTTTATTTGAATTTAGGTTTAAAGATGTTAAAGTGGAATTTGATTGTAGAGCCTTTGCTAATGCTGTTGCTCCTTCAATTCCAACCTGATTATGACAAAAATTCAAAAAAGATATGACAGTAGAAGAATTTAATTCTATAGCTTTTGCCAGAGCACCTGCTCCTACATCACTGATCATATTATTCTCAAGAGCCAAGGAAGTCAAAGATGCATTTGATCCCAAAGCTGTTGCAAAAGCTGTTGCTCCTGTATCTCCAATATTGTTTGATTCTAAAATTAAAGAAGTCAAACTGGAGTTTAATTCTAGAGCTTTTGCCAAGGCAATTGCCCCTATATCTCCAATATGATTATTATCAAGCTCCAAAGTAGTCAGGGATGAGTTTAACTCTAGAGCCTTTGCTAGAGCTGTTACTCCTGTTTCTCCAATCTTATTGTTCCAAAGACATAGAGTATTAAGAGATTTGTTTGATTCTAGAGCTTCTGCCAGAGCTATTGCTCCTGCATTCCCAATATCATTTGAATTTAAATTTAAAGAAGTCAAAGTTGAATTTGATTCTAGAGCTTTTGCTAGAGCTGTTGTTCCTACAGCCCCAATTTGATTATTATAAAGGTTCAAAGATGTTAAGGATGTGTTGAATTCAAGAGCTTTAGCCAAATCTGTTGCTCCCACATTTCCAATCATATTGTATTGTAAGTTTAATAATGACAAGGGGGAATTATTATGTAAAACCTGTGCCAGAGCTGTTGCACCTGTGTCTCCAATTGTGTTACCACAAAGATTCAAACATGTCAGTGTAGAATTTGACTTTAATGCTTCTGCCAAAGCTATTGCTCCTAGGTCTTTGATTTCATTGTATTCAAGTTGCAATGAAGCCAGGCTTGAATTTGATTCTAGAGATTCTGCTAGAATGCTTATTCCTTCATCTCCAATACCATTCTTGTGTAAATTCAATGAAGTCAATGAGGAATATAATTTCAGAATTTTTGCCAATGCTGTAACACCTGATTTTCCAATTTGATAGTCTAAATCTAATGTGGTTTGATCAATTGCTGAGTTGTATAATTTCAGTTCTTCATACACTTCATTGCTTGATGGTCGCTTATTGGGATCATTATCCCAGCATCTTGAATAAAGTTCAAAATACTCCTCAGGTGTTCCAGGAACAGGAGGATCTCGAGAGCCCTCCAGCCTGTAAAAAATAATTTGATGGCTTTCAGTATGACCTGCACACGGAAGCTGTCCACTGGAAATTTCCCAAAGCACAACCCCCAAGCTAAAGATGTCAGAACTTTTTCCACGCTCATATGACTTATCCTGATAGGATACTGGATCTTTGTATGCTTCATGTCCCTTATGATGGGATTTAGACATGTGTTTTAATATTCTGGATAAGCCAAAGTCAGTAATTTTTGCAACACCATTCTGAATTAGAATATTAGCAGAAGTCTATAGACATTAATATCAAATGTAAGTTTCAGTCTTAGTATTAGTTATTAGTATTAGAACACGAAATACATTTTAAGATAAACTGTCATAATGATAATGAGAAAAGATGCGACTTGATAAATACCAGATCCTTGTGGATAATTTCCAGTTTATGCAAGTACATCAAAGCGTTGGTAATGTCCAAGGCTAACTTGTATTTATTTTTCCATGTCAGGCTACCAAAGTTTTTTCTCAAATGTTCAAACAAAGTTCCGTCGTCCCGCATATTCCAAAATCATATGATAATGCCCACAAGTATCTGCGGTTATGAAAACAGAATTAGTTATTATTATAGTATCCCAGAGAACATTACATTCGACGTAATGAGGTGGTGGTAACCTTGGCACAATCCTAAGAATCGAATGATGTTCGGATGTTTATTCACCCGCTTATGATTTTGCAGCTAAACGAATTGACACAAATTTCAGTTTATAAATAGTAGGTTAGCAGCATAATACATTGTTCAACAATATAAATAATGGTAACCTCTCTAACAAACTCCTTGTATAACTCTTTCTCGTATCCGTATCTCTCTTGAAACAGAGTTTTCATTGCCACAGTTATTCCCGAATGTTTCATCTTCGCTTTATGTACAACACCATATCCACCATGTCCAATTGGAATATGGTCCACGATAATATCACTATACGAACAGCATTCGATTAAACCCTCTTCAATGCTCTTCTTCAACCATTCTTTGTATTCGTTATCCTGAGACATGACTATGACAAGACTATGTGTGACGATCATTCACAGTTAAATCAAAATGTAGTACATTCGCACTCCATTCCCATTACATTCCCACTCCATTCCCACTACTCACTCCCGCTTTGTATCTCGCCACGACATATAAGATCGTGGGTTCCTCAAAAGTTGTTATGATTCCTTGGAATACAGATATTGATATTGCCTTACATGTTTGAAGGACGAATAATAATGCAGTACAAGTGAAAACTCGTGAAGGACGTGTTTTGAGAATATTTAAAACATAACTTTCCTTTATTTGTTATGTTGATGTTATTACATATTGAATAAATATAAGGTAGGAAAAATACGAATAATTTATATACCAGTTTCAATAATAAACGGCGTGCTAATAGATGTTTTTGTTTCTTTTTTTCTTTTTTCGTCTTTTTTTACTTTTAATTGAATAAGAGGAGGGATATCTAATTCTTTTACCTTAGACGTAATACATGGGATATCGACTTGTCAAATCCGACTGGGTCATACGCAGTTGTCCGTCGACCATATGTGATCGCGCTCTCTTCGCGGCGCAATGTGCATAATAAGTTGGCGCAGGAATGGAGACGGCTCTCGGTGTTCTTTGGAAATTAAAACACAGCTTATTCAAAAGGTCCTGAATCTCATCTGCTGCAAACCCATTCTCATCGTAGAGTACACAATAACGACAAGAACGTGAAGTTCCTTGAAGACTCGAATGTGAATTGATATAAAAATCAAAAAACTGCGGGTGAGTGATGTCACGTTCAACGGTCAATCCGGGTTTTACGTTTTTGTTTTTGTCACCATCTTCCGGCTGCTTAGGATAGAATCTTGTCTGATGTCTTTTGCAAGCGACGATATAGGTAATCGACGGGTTATATTCCGGATCCACTTTATGGCATGCCGCTTTTATAGAAGGGAGTTCCCTTTCCAATGCCAAAGATTGGAATTGGCTTTCGCTGATACCGTCTCTGCACATTATAAGGCTTTCCGGAAACGACTTGCGGACAGCTTTGAATTCACATAGAATTTCATATAGCAAATCACCCATGTCGTCGATTTCTTCTTTACCGCGACCGGTTTTCTGGCTGTTCTTCGGTTCTTTATGCTGTTCTCGATGTCTCTCTACGTATTGAACGGCAAATTCATCAACGGATCCGACAACTGCTGCAATCGATGGAATTCCCTTTGACCCCGGTGGTGGATGAGTGACGTCGGCTCCGAGAAACATCGTTAGCTTTTCTTTTATCCGAGGCAGGTTCATAGTGTAATTTATGCCATTGAGTTTCAGGTTAAGTTTTAAGGCGACATTCGAGAGGTACGCCGTCTTAATTTCTTTGATATGGGGAGGCTGGATGCATTGGGATAAAATACCGACTTCGGTATCATTGATTACCTTGACAAGATTATATTGGTCGGTGCTTACTTGGGAAAACCTTTTTTTATCTTCGAGAATGTAAAAAACAAGTTGGGGCAAACAGCTCTTAGATCTCTTATCTTTCAAGATTCTGGAAATTTCTTCATGAGCCTGATCATGATTATAATTGTCCCATTGGACACACACGACTTGTGGAGCTTCTGTTGAGATTTCCATGCCCAACTTTCTAGCTTGTTCGCCTAATCTGTGAAGGAATTTCTGGACTGAGTGAGAGAAAGTTTTCGGCAAAAACGAAATGGCGAACAACGTCTGCAGGTTCTCGCCCCCTTTGATGAATTTCACATCATTCAATTTCCATGTAGCATCACGCTCATCCGGTTTGACACTCTTAGGATTGTTAGAAGGTGAGGAGAAGGTGAGTTCTGGTATTTCTTTGAAATGGGCTGGTACGAGAGCCATTTCCATATCGACAGTAAAACCGGCTTTTTCGAATAGACCTCCTTGTTTAAGTAACAGTATATTCTTGATGCCGTCCAGAATGAGCTTTTTGCTTGCATCGGGACGTTTGGCTGTTATTTTGATCATTTGAGCGCGTTGTTTGCCGGTCAAATACTTTTCTTGATATCGCTGTCCCTAGTTGAAGAATAAAGATTTTAATTTTTACCTTCATCGTCCACTCATCAATTCTATATCATGTCATCAACCATACACACACGCGTGCGCGTATGGATTATGTATGTACCTCAATGATCTCACAGTATTCAATCGGAAGTAGAACCTTCCTTTGCTAGTTTCGATTAAATGGTCTGTAGTCAATGTTACACCATACGCATTCTTAAAATGCTCGGCGACACTTATTTGCTTTCCATCTTTGTCGGTAAACTTAGCCTGGTGCGCATTTTTATTATGCAGTTTACAGACGATGTATTTGGTCTTACATTCCGGGCGATGGCGAGGTTTGACTTTGATATCCTTTATGACGCTGTTTATACTGTCAAGTGTTCGTCGGTTAAATTTATCCGGCAGCGTCTCTTTACCAATAAATTTGCAAATCCAATTTCCCAAGTCAATCGGCTCATAAGCAGTCATATGATTCACATTCACATTCAAATAGACTTTGCCTATAATATTTAATCATAATAATGAAATAGGTCAATAGGGAAAAGGGATAATGCTGCTTTTGTCACATAAATTATCGACTTACTATCGCCCAAACGAGCACTTGAAAAGAGTCCCTGCCACAACTCCACGCCACCTCCAAGCGATTTTCTAGTCCCACGGTCAAATATTGATTCGCCATATTGAGTATATAAGAGAGCAGGATTGTGATGTAAAAAGGCATTGATCATTTTCAAGCCTTGGTTATTGAAAAAGTCCCATTCAAAGTTACTGCTCGTTAAAACGGCCTTCAAATCATCAAGCGAGATTTCCGGCTCGTTGTCATGATCTTTTAGATGTATATAGTACTCATTCGGTTTACCAGCATGATTATGATCATCATTCAACTCAATGAGTTCGCCCATTTGACCGTTTTCTCCAAGAATTAGCTTGTAGGTTGTATAAGCAATACTGCCGCCATCATATGCAACGCCAACGTGTTGGAAAATAATTGACTGGTGGCGTGTTTGGAAAGCATTAAAAATGCGCCGTCGGAGCTCTTTCTTGGTGCCGGACTCACCAGTAAGAAGATCTCTGCGATCACTTTCATCCTCATTACGTGAGAGCCTATAGAATTCGACTATGTATTGATAGTATATTGTATTTTTCATCTGCATTTCGAATCTGTTTGTCAAAACCTCAGTCTTCTTTCTTGAGCCATTTCCTTCATCACCGTAGCCGGGGCGTTGGCAGGGAATTATCGGTGTCGCATTCTTAGAGGCCATTTATAGCGCTAGTTTGATGTAAGACTGTTGTTGAAGGAATATATAAGGTACATGATATTCTGGAACGCGCTGCTATGTAAAACTTATTTTCAGTGTCAATCTAGGTTTTTGATAAATAATGCGGAAGACCATATCGTATATATATTAAGGAATATGAAACACAACGCAGTATGAAACCTGTTTGGCGGTGTGCAGCGTGATTCTTCCATGAATCTATGGTTCTGAAAAATTAACAGGATGTTATCAAGTGTTACGCCAAAAACGACTTCCACTGTTACTCCTTTTTGGAAATAACCTGTTTCTTAAGCTGCGCCTATTTCATAAAGGCGCAGCGACATGGTTTCATTGATCTTAGTAACTTTCGCAGTATGAATTAGTCCCACTTGAGTTGAGTTGCACGCATAGTAAATAGTGTTATATTCCGATGTATAATAGACTCGATTTGCGCCAAAGTCATAAAGCCGGTATCAATAGTTATGGTGTTCAGCAAACATCTATGTCACACGAACATGTTTAATAGTGTTGCAAATAAAGATGTAGAAATTTGTATTCAATCCGTAGTTTGTCCATTTATCAGGTTATACATTGACTCACGCCTTCTTCGCTGCCGATTATTTACACCAAATCCGCAGTTTTGCAACCCACTGTGTTCTCCTATTTTGGAGCAAAAACAGGCATTTCACGTGACTGAAACATTTACGGGTATTAATTAATCTACTTTCCACCTTACCATCTTCCAACTTTTTTAATCAAAAAATGCCAATCGATCACTATCTTATTCCTGACTATAGCCACCTATATAACAACGATAAACATTCTGATATCCATATACACGTTGGGAAAGGAAATGATTTGACAGTCTTTCGGGTACATTTGCAAGTGCTATGTAAACGTTCTTCATACTTCGACCAGTCATTTTCCGACGACGTTCAAACTTCAAAAACGCAAGAGCAAGGAGAAACTTCTACAAGAATCGGAGCATTCACTATGTATTACGAAGACTTGTCTCCAATTGCGTTTAAAAGCATTCTCAGGTATTAAATGATCATTATAATGACTATTATTATAGTCAACGAAAATTGAACTGACCCCCCCACCTTTTGTTCTAGGTATATGTACATAGGGAAACTATCACCGTCTAGACATCAATATTTTGAATTACTGGAAGTCTTAAAGATAGCGAACAAATTTGCATTAAAGAAGCTTGTCGACGCATTATTAAGAATTATTTCCGAAGAGTTGTCTTGCCTACTCGAAAAACACATCATATCAACTATGATCGCAGCCCAAAATGAGGGATTCGATGTATTGGAGAAACGCTGTCTAGCAATAATCGAAGAAAGTCCAGAAACTGTGCTTTTGTCAAATGATTTTCTCAAATGCAACAAGGATCTCTTGATTAAACAATTGGAAAAAGATAGGCTTGACATGGACGAAGCAGATATATGGGACTGTATTCTTAATTGGACGATAGCCCAAGCAAACGTCTCCGCAGACTCGAAGAATTGGAGTGCAGATGATATTGCAACATTAAAAGACATGATAGCAGAAATGGTTCCCCATCTGAGGTTGTTCTACATGAAACAAACCAACTTTGCGGAAAGAGAACCGATTATGGAGAAACTTCTCCCAGAATCACTGTACAGAGCGTTGAAGCAGTTTTACTCATCTAATGGGAGTAATCAAAACCGCAAGCTACCAAGGCCAAGGATTCGCTTCCCTATTATCAATTCGATATTAATAAACAAGGAGCAGGCGCGTTGGATTGCGCATCACATTCGACAGCAAGCGCCATCTAGTTCACGCAATTCATTCCATGTGGATCCATTTTGTGATTTCGAGTTGCTGTTATCCGGAAGCTTGGACGGATTTACACCAACGATTTTTCACCGTACTTGTGATAATAAAGGACCAACTATTGTCGTAGCAAAGATAAAAAATAGTGATGAAATAGTCGGTGGATATTGTCCGTTAGATTGGAAATCGCCTCGTAACGAGTATTACGGAAATTGCTCAGATAGTTTTCTATTTGCGTTTCATGGGAGCGGGTTACGTGATGCTAAATATAGTCCCGTACAGCAAGCGAATCATGCTATATTCTTTACTGCCGATTCTGGTCCGTGCTTCGGTTATAATGGGGCGGATTTGTATTTTGACGGCAAAAAGCCGTTTTGTTCGACGAAAAAAGAATCTTATTCTATATCAATTAGAAATGGTAGAAATTGGTTTGCAATAATGGACTATGAAGTATTTCAAGTTGTAAAAAGAGAGAATTGATTTTTATTAAAAGTTTCAACGGCTTTAGGCCATCGATATCTTACCAGTTCTTCGACATATGACAAAGGCTGTTCCCAGAAACTTGATCAATGATGCCTTTTATATTTAACGCGCCAGGCGAGCTAAAGCCCTTCGTAAAGCAGGTGGACTAATCGATGCCTAATCACAAATGCAATACAACTACACATTATCTGTATTCCCATTATCGTTAATACCAACGTTCGTTCATGCATAGGACCAAATTTTAAAAGTATTAAATTCAACAATGTGAAATTGTTAACGACTATTTCTTCTTTCTCATGTTTAATCTCTACAAGACGCAACAAAGTGAATAACTTGATAACGATACTGGATACAGGACTTAGCGGTTGTTCCAATCGAACTGTACTATATTCCAGTTTGTTTGTACGCGGGTTGAAGCTAAATATGAACAGCAATTAGTAGAACATTGATTAATCGCTCCCCAACGACCAAGCACTTTGTAATCGATCCACTTACTCTGGCATCCTATGTCGCGGACAATCGACAAGCTTGAATAATTGTGGGGCCGAATATATGAAATTAAATATTTGCGGTATAAAGAATAACAATAGCGTCTTGCTAAAGTGTCCCAATACGCTCACGACGGCAAAGGTCATTCCGGCAAAGTAACAATATGTATCACCGACAAATACGCGCGCCGGGAACCTAAAAGCAATATAAATCAATCAATCGTTTTGCAGATAGCATACACGAATCGTAAAGACATAATACCGACCAGTTATGTATCATTAGACCAATTGTGACACCGATGAAGGGAATGAGAAAAAACAATGAGAACAAATGTGTCTCAACGGTTTGATCAAAAGCGTTGAGGAATAGTAAATCGTTAGCTGCAATGGAGGTAGCAATCACCAGCGATTGACCGACTTCCACGCCGTTGATGCCAGCCATAATATTGATTGAATTTGTACAGAATACTGCCATCATCCCCATATATACATAATATAGTGGACCTGTGAAACACAAAAGATGCGGTTATTTCGCACGATCTTACAAGCATTTTCATGATAAAAGACGAAATACGTTACCCAAGTCTAGAATTTGGCCAAATATAAACCGCAATGGAATCGGTACACTAATATGCGTTTCACCAGATCCGACATAGTAATTGATCAATATTGGAACCGATGCTATCGTCGGTAAAAGTAATTTATATCTCCATCGTATGTCAAACACATCGTCAGCAAATCCAAGCAGAATCATCGACTGAAGTGACAGCAAAGCGGACAGGAATTCACCAAGTTTGTTATGGGGAAACGTAGGAGTATGAAACGGTTCTTTACGAGAGAGAATATGCTGGCCTGTAAAGTAATCCATGAATGGAAAAGGGATAAACAGAAAGAGGCAGATCAAGTAAACCGTTGCGGCAATAACACCCATGCTCTCAGGGCTAAATAATAGTGACAACAAACAAAAGTCATTAAACGCTGAATGATATGACGTATGGTAATAGCATGATCCATGGTTCTGAACCATCATGTATATACAAATATGAATAAATTAACATACAGTATTGGTTTAGTCAGTTTGTGCGCATCTCGACCGGTTCTCTTGGCGTTCAGAAAGCTTTCCGTTAACATTGGGATGATAAGCCATGTTGTTGATCCACCAAGTATGCCGAATCCAATTGATGCTGTTAGCGGATCATGCACCGTGTTGAATATAATTACTAGAGCGACAATAATTGTAGACGCGACCGTTAAGAATGCTGTGAGTGACAGCATAGCGAAGATGACAACAAGGAGAGAAAGTACATTTCTGGGATTTAACACTCTTTGATCGTCAGTATAAGGAAATGAATTGACTGACCATCCAATGAACTTTAAGGAATCTAATTAATGCCCCAGGTATAGTCAATGATTCAGACACTTTTTGGCATTTTATATGGTTGTACAGCATACTGTATGTGATCGTCATCAGCGTCAGGATCATACTGCAAATGTCGGATCACATTCTGTTTCGCTTGTACTAAAAAGATGCATGTAAAACATATTTACCGATCTTTCGTGTCCATTTATTTGTATCAGCCGTTCTCATGGAGCATTGTGCGTCTGACAATAAAGTAAAAGAACTATTGCATTTGATAATTTAGACGTTCTTGTAATGTAGGATATTCATTGATGATATCATTTGTTTTTCAGATAATGACGACGAAGTCTACCGATATCTAATAAAATTACATTCAAGTTTTATGTAATTATTTGGAACAGAACAAGTAAATAGTCGGATTTAAGAGTTTCAAAACGAAAAATCGGCAGAAAACAAATTAATTTGTTAAAAATCAAACTAATATGGTCATTTATTTAAACAAGCAATAGTAATGCCGTTTTTCGTTCTTTATGTAATCTAAACAAATCCATGTTATTGAATGATCCGAAAGCAAATACGTCTCATAACGTTAGAGAAAATTGTGCTATCATATTGGTCTCTCGGACAGCCATGCCCGCCTCCGTCGTGTCCGACTTATCGAGTTTCACTATGTATTCAATTTTTTACCCGTATGGCAGCTGGCACCCAAAATTACATCTAACATTCAATTACCGGCGATACGGTCACAAGTCTTGTGGTAAGTGCTGGTGTTTCCATCGTTGTAATTGAATCAGGCCGTTCTTTGGCCTTTTTGGGACGTGACTTGCGATATTCGGTTAAAAGATTGAGATCAATTATTCTGATCAGTTAATTCCTATAACGAACTTTGTTATATGCTCGAATGAATACTATATTATGCAAATTATCCTGTTAAAGATCAGTAGAATACTTTATTATAAGCAATCTTCGTTACAGTAAATTACACTGTGTATTTGATAATTTTATTTCGAAATCTCAGGAATTGTATTTACAAATGTCAAATTAAGAACGTCTCTATTAAGATATTTATGAACAACTATTAAACGCAACGCTGTTACTGTTTGGTGATGACGGCTTAATACACTATTAGTGCTCAGCGAGAGATTGTGAATGGATAATCGAATCTTTCGTATTCGATTCGCCCGCTATCAGTCATGTTGTTTATTCTACAGACGGAAAGACAAACATCTGCGACTCCATCTTGATGATGCGACCTTAGTAAAGAATAGAAACAAAATTGTTAGAAACTTAATTAAATATAAAGGAAATGTATATTGGCAGTTCAGTAACCTGTTGTCGTCATTATTACCGTTTGTCGAAATCTCTTGTTTATCACATTCGGTCATAGTTTCTTAATACTGATGACAACTCGTAATGTATTTCGCTACGTTCCATAAAACACTATCTAGGCATGGATGTACGATCATCGTCACCGTCGCGGCTCCGGCGGCGGCGGCTCATTCCCGCGGCTCTGTTTTAACGGCGGCTGGGCTTATTATTATGTTGCTCAAAGTTGGACTACGCATTAAAAAAGTAAGCATTTGTATCAATAGTCAAAATAGCTGTGGCCACAACGCGCTTTCGTTTACGGTAACGGAGATTGAACGTTCACAACGGGCCGTTCACTCGTACGCCAGGACTGGATACCGACAGGTGACTTTCGCAAGATATGCTTTCGATTTCTCCGATTTACACCTAGTGGCAGCGCACCTTTGGGTATAATGATCACTTTACAAATATTCAGGAGATTCTCACCTGCGTTTTATGTACGCGGAGATCGCGGTTTACGAGAGCTCTCCGCACGGTACTCTCGTATTCGAAACTCGGTGCTTGCGTCAAATACTGTCGTTATGACTTTTAGGGTAATTCTTGAAAAGCTGAATCCGTTTTTCTTCTTCTTCTTCTTCTACTGTTTCTCTTCTGACTATTCGGATTCTGACCATGGTATGATTATGCCTTTAATGTTAACAAAATATAGATGGTAGATGAATTCAAACGTTAGTTATTTATTAATTTGCAATATACTTAACATTTCAAAATTAACCTCCATAATTGTTTGTTATTGACTTGGATAAAGTTGTTTCTAAACTTAAAGGAGATAATCTAAATGATCAAGAACTATCGCGAAAGAAACATCCTTGAGCGATACTTACAATAAAAGCATGAATACTTTGTCATTTGATCAGTACAATACTGGTGTACGAGCCCTTGCTATTTGGCTCCTTTCCAACATGAACTTGATTTCGTTTCAATTTCAGTTGTCTCATACTCGTAAACATCGCCCGCAAATATCTGTCCTCACTGCTGCGAAAATACCGCCTTTCTCCTTCATGTTGGGATAAGAGAAGCCTTTTCGTGGTAGACCCTTATCGAGCGATTAAGTATTGACGATATTAACATCAAGTTAGAAGTATCTTCAAAATACCTTGATTGCAGGATTTGTGAGATAAACACAGTAATAACGATATGTATCGTGTTCCTAGTGTTTGACGTGTTTTTTTTACGACTCGACTATTTGGATTGGTCAGCTGATCGTGTTGCACCACCATCAAAAATTCACGGACATCTATCGCTATATTAATATGTAATAGTATGTAATAGTGAGATTTAAGTTTATAATTCAGTGAAATTTTCAGGGTAGTTGAAATCTCTGTCATACAGTAATTATAATTAGGATAAACATCGAATCGGAGGCATGCTTCTTTCGGGATATATTAACCAAATTATTTGGCAAGATTTTCGAGCATACGAATAATTATATTATTCTTACTAAATGATAAGTAAGATCATACTTATTTGCGATCATATTAGCGGATTTCTTTTATTTCGTTATAAATTCTGAATACAGTCAAGCTGGTTATAACGAATTCTACGGGACCAGAGAAAATATTCTTTATAACCAGAAATTCCTTATAACGAAGGTCACTTTTTATAGCTAAGATTATAACTATTTATAATTGGCTTGGAGAAAATCTTCGTTATAAACAGATCTTCGTTGTAACCAAAGTTCGTTATAGCCAAATTTGACTGTACACAGACGGAGAGGGAGGTTTAGGGGGTGGTATGTCATAATATTAAGACTTTGGCGGAAGATTACAGAAAAAGCTGCTAGTAAATTGAAGTAAGACTCGTATCGTCGGTATGATTATACTACGTCATGTTAAAATGCATGGATAAAATACAATCATTGCAGCAAGCAAGTTAAAAGTTTCGAAATTGGAACATTCAATTGGAGTGACCGAGCTATACAATTTGTATATTTATTTTATCTGGTTTTTTTTCATGTTCATTATTACGTTTTTGGTAGCAAGACATACGTTCTGTTTTCAAGATTAAGTTATTGACAGACCTTTCCTATAATAACTATAACACGTATAACGTCAAAATAATACGATGACGGTATACAATCTCTTGTTAGTAGCAATAGGCGTATATTTCTCTTATTTAGAAATAACCATAATTGATATAGTATTTCTATCGCCAATACGAAATTCTGTCGGAGAGAGATTTTAATTGTACATCTGAACAATGTATCGCCAATCGATCTAAAAATTTAAACACCCATCTCCTGAACAAAGACAATTAGTGTTCGGGCCTTATGACGTAAAGTCAGATCCCCAGTTACGGCGGGGTTACCGCAAATTTCGCCCACCGTGGGATTAATGACTGCATCAACATAAGATATGACAACCAGAATAGGCAAATTTTATGTGGCGCACACACAATCTTTTATTTTCTATAATGGTACCTTCCGAGAACTCTTGGCCGATTGACTGGTGAGGACCATCACAGGTTTATAAATAGAAGACAATCGAATAAAATAGAACATTTCCTATTTATAACTTCCTTCTGCAAACCATTGTCTCCCCATTAGAGAGTACACCAATGAATTGGGATGGTTGTCAGAACAAACGCTATACCATTCCAAAAGTGTTCGGCACTCCTTGAAAAAAATTTTGTGAGCGTATTTACTATGAAAATTACAATAATTTTGTCTTTTTTCCGTTGTTGAAGCTAATTTATTGTAGTTTTCGAAACAAAAAATGTCATGGAATTTAAATTAGTTACTGTGATGATGAAGGAAGCGGCAATATGTATGGTTTTTTCATATTATAGCAGCCACTTTATCGAATTCCTTCTTCATTGCGATAATTAAGTTAATTTTATACTATTGTTTTCAACCAATCAACTAGCTTTCAACAAGGCAAACACTAAAATTATTGTGATTTTCATAGTAAACACGCGCAATTGAAAAAATTTTTCATATGTTTACTAGTAAAAGAAGTGTCGAACAATTTTGAGGGCAGGCTAATGTAGCAAGCTATTTATTAAGCACAAAATGTAAACTTGTGAACATAATGTGAATGCTAGCCCCATCTTTTTAATTATCAACATATAATCATGGCCCATTCCCTCTGCGCAATATTAATTTAAAAATGGTTTCTCTGGTTAGCGCTCGTTTATATAATAGTATTTCATAAGAAATTCACTTTTCTTATGAAAACGAAAACTTTGACACGTCTTGACCAGAAGCTTAAATATTTTCTGATCAAAGCATTATGAATCGCAATATTCTTTTTCTTGGCTTTGATTTTAACCATCAACGCTATGCCACACGTTCTAATAAAAGAATTAAACTGTCCGCCATTTCCTGATAATCCTGAGCTTATGTGGCTAACGGTAACTGTAGTGCCAGATCCTCTCGCTTCTAATCAAAACGCTACATTTACGATTTCTGGAACTGCGGAAGATATATTCCCACGTATGTGTGCATTCACAATCTTTTATCAGATGATTAACAGTGGACGCCTTATAGTAATAGGTAAACCTTTCTACATCGACTTTTGCGGAGAAGGCAATCTTTGTCCAGTTAATTATGGAGATGCATTTAATCGAACGCTGACATTTCCTACTTCATATGCTGTGAGCATCACACTTAGTACACGAAGCATATGCCTGTGTAACATATACAGTCTGATGAGTATAATCACTTGAGACTATCGAACAAATTTTACATTATTGCATTACATTGATAATTTACCATACATCCTCATATTAGCGTGACAGTCAAAGAACCAGAACATTGACATAGTTACAACTTTACATTGTTTTCTATATCGGCAGTAATATTTAAAGATACTGAATTGAAGTTTAAAATCGAAGGCTTTTTGCAAGAGTTTATTCCTTATCATCATTACAATATTTCAGTGAAAGAGAAAACTGCAACATGCAAAAATACTTGTATTGTCAAATAATTATATATTAATATGTATAAAAAACGCGACTTAATCGGGTTAGGGATGGGTTAGGGTTAGGTTTTTTCTTATAGCAATAAAATAACTATCTTCGAACATTGCTATGGGCTTCTTCTACTTTATGTCAATAACGTTTAAACTACTCAAGAATTAATATTGATTGATAGATATTAATCAGATAATAGTCGCCCTCAAGTTAATCGGCTATTATTCCCTTCACATACTTGTATTTATTCAAGCGTACGTGCAAATAAACCATTCATGCGAGCATTCATAACTTTTGAAAATGTTTACAAACTTTTTGGCATCCCCGTATGTCGAATAGTTTACCAGAGAACGAACTCTTTATTAGAAAAAAAAAACATATTAATATGATTAATACTAGCGGAAATCGTGCAGACTCTTTACATAGTGCTGGCATGTCACCTTTGGAGTTACTCGCAATCGCTGAACTGTACTGAAGTACAGTAAACCATTTTGAACTATTTCTTAGCATTGACGACTACAGCTTAATGTTTCCCAGCCAATGAAGCATAGTCGTATCTAAAAGAGAAACATCATTTTCAGTTAACCAAACACCGTTACGGCATAAACATATAAATTCTACATCCTAATTCTGAAATGATATTCATCTGATGACTGTTAACCACTGTAAATTAAAAAAGGAGAAAGTACTTCAAAACCCATTTAAAGGTAACAAGCTCGGTGTATTCTTTGTGGATGAGTATTGTTCTTTGGCTGAAATATCGGATCAAAAGATTCGTTCCCCTTTCATGAATGAAAACGTTATGTCTAAACCAACAAAAAACTATATATAGGAATGAGCTTAATATCCAAATAAAGACTTGACTACGAAGACTTGTTTAGGTATAAATCTTCAAACTATTCTTATCTTTTAATCATCATGCATAGGCAGTATAGTATACCAACCAATCAACCGCTATTTAACGTCATGATAGTCTGTACGATATTGTTTCTATTTTGGGTTCAGGTTAGCGCCCGCCTGGATTTGACATAGTATAACACATCGTTTGAGAAATCCACTTTTTCTTATAAAAACGGAAAAACTTCGACACGTCTTGACCAGAAACTCAAACAATTTCTGATTGTAAACATCAACAAACATGAATCGCAATGCACTTTTTCTATTCTTCTTCTTGGCTTTGATTTCAGCCATCAACGCTATGCCACACCAGTTCTATAAAAGAACCACCGAGTTCAAAAAATGTCAACCTCCTGGTAATGATGTTGAGGTTACACGGCTCAAGATACGCGTAGTGCCAGATCCTATCGTCTCTAATCAAAACGCTACATTCACAATCTCTGGAACTGCGAAAGTGGATTTTCCCACAGGTTCTAATACCAAACTTTCGATCACTTACAACAAGATTGGAGGAATTGGACCCGTTATAGGTGAACCCTATTTTGTCGATTTTTGCGGAGACGGCAGCCCTTGTCCAGTTAAAAAGGGAGATAAATTTCATCGAACGGTTTCAGCCAAAGCGCCGAACTTACCTACCATATATTCTGCGACAATCCTAATTAATGTACCGGAAGTAGTATATGCTTGTGCAATAGCTACAGTCGGAATATAATTACATGAGATTATCGAACAAATTTTATTATTACGTAATTTTTATTATTATCATTATGTTCTCATATCAGCTGAATTAACACGTGTAAAGCTGTTCATATGTGTGGGCTTTATGCCGTGGGTTTTACAAACATTGGCATAGTTACAACTTTGTGTTGGTTTCCGTATTGTTGAAGAATTCAATTTTAAACGCAAAGAGTTTTTTTGTTTATTGTTATTATCATAAATAAAAATTTGGTATATTCAACTTACATATTCTTAATCACATGACCATTCATAAAATTTTACTTCAACGTATTTAAGATTTTATTAGGTTAATTACTCAATTACCATGCAAATATATCGCTTGGCAAAATAAAAGTCAAAGAACAGCTCAAAAGTCTACAGATTACTATTAATGGGACTGAAGCCTTTTCAACTGCCAGCTTTGTTGTAAGGAATGGCCGGGAACAGTATATTCCATCATACATCCAACGACCGACGGCGGCAGAAAAAAAGCTTACAAAAAACGCGAGCCACATCTTTGCTTCTTTAAAATACAATAATAATAATAATAATAATAAATAGAATTGTCCGAATTCAAATGTATTTCAGCAGATTAAAAACACTATTGGAAAACCATTTCAGAATAAGTAATAACCATCCTAGAAGCTCGATAGGATTGTGGTCTTTGAGCGAGAAAGAGAAAGAATTTCTCACCAGAGGGTATATAAATTTAAGCACGGTCTGATCTCCAAGGGTCGTTCGCAGAATCGAGTAATAATCTAGATAGTTTGCTCGGTAGTCTAATGTCCAAACTTTTAATAAACACAAATGACTTCTCCGTTGTTAAATTAAACAGACCGAATATTAAAACTTTAAGAAGAAACGATTTGGATGCGTTTAATGCATTTTTGGGAAAGAAAATGAGGGACAAAAATCACATGGTAAAATTCATCTTCTACCGATTATATTGTTCAAAAAGGTTACGGCTGCTGATAGAAAGAGGTTGCTTTTTCCATACATGTAGTGTGGCCTGGCATACTTTTCCGTGTACCATCCGAATGGGCAATATTCTTTAGGGATTGCTCATATATTAATATTGTGTGCAAATTACGTCAAAAAAATTTTTTTTAACTAAGTACCGCTATTACTATAGCATTTAAACCGGACATTCTGACAACAATTTATACTGATGGTACAGTTTACTGTTAACCACTAATTGTACACTAACCTTCTAGACGTTCACCAAAATAAAATTTGTTCAAGGATTTAATAAGTTCGATTTGTATGCTTTGTGGAATGTGTACTGTCCTTTGGATGGAATGATCGACAACAACACGACACAAATGTGAACTTGACTAAAAAGATTTATTTACGGATAAGATCTTTATTTACCATCATCATAACATGAACAGTGTTAAAATGTCAATCCAACTTCAATATTAACGTCATAATAATATTGCCTATTTTAATTTCAATTTTCCCCGATTAATCTGGTTCTAAAATATTATTTAAGAAATTCGCTTTCTCATAAAATGCCGAAGTTTTGACAAATTTCCTCTGAAATCATGAATCGTAATTTATTGTTGCCTCTTGGCTTGGATTTCAGTCATCAACACTATGCCACACCTATTCAATAAAAAAACTACTGAGTTCAAACAATGTCCACCGATTTCTGGTAGTTCTGTAACGTCACGGCACTCACGACATTGGTTACAGCCGAAGCGCCGACATTACCTACCACATATTTTGTGAGAAACGACTACAATCTGATAAGTATAATCACTCGAAATTATCGAACACCCTTTATTATTATGTAACATTCACAATCTATTCTCATATAAGCTGAAGGTCAATCAAAGCATCAAACATCGACACAGTTACAAATTCATGTTGTTCTTATATTCAAAGCGAAGGTTGCGAGAATGTTCCCTCATTATAAATAATTCGTATATTAGTCACATGACTAATCATAAAGTTCTTCACTATAGCACTGATACTGCTCAGTCACACTCTAATTGAATTCTTCAGCACGAACGAGCATGGACGTTTGTTTAGAATAATAATAGCAGTAATAATAATTTAAAATACCATTAGCTTAGTTGCCTAATTACTTGAACATATGTCGTTTGACAAATAACTGGAGTCAAATAAAAATAAAAAAACTGCAATATAGACAGATTACTGTTATCCAACGAATTCAAATGTATTTCATGTAAAAATGTAGCAAGAAGCCATTTCAAATAAGCAATTGCTAAAATTGTGGCCGTTTGAGCAAGAAAAGAGAAAGAATTTCAGTAAGACCCGTTATAAAGAGTGTTGACTGTAGTCGCTATGCTTATACTGTATAACAAACCAATCGACTTTTTAAACTCGGTCACAATAAAGATGACACGTTAATATGCTATACCCGTCTGATATTTGAATTTCAATTAGTATTCGATTAAATTAAATTTTCATATGGGAATAAAACATTATTTATGGATACAGAAAGCTGCAATTTCAGTTATCAGCACTGTTACGGATAACCCAACGAAAGAATTTGGGGCAAGTGTTGGGCAATGCAGTCTATTATTTATGCTCGTAATATCAACATTACCCGGTCATATCGTTGCTGGTCAAAACGTTAATTTACGATTGCTGCTTGAATATTCCTGATAAGAATGGTCTTTATTCGGTTGTAATGTGATATATTGCAGAAACGTTCACTTTATCTTTTTATTCAGTTTTTTTTACACTAAACACTGATATCAAATATGTGTACGTCGTCGCATATAAATAATTTAATAGGAAAAAGCGTCCGAAATCGCGGATAATGTATGGTTTAAAATCAAACTCTCAAAATCTTCTGCTCATCACTAGTTTATTAAAAACACCCAAGAAGACTGCTACCACGGCAATGTATTGTGTATCGGTTCTAATTTTCTAGAGGCAAACTCAATCAAGATTTTTATTAATACGATGCGCACTGATACTAGTATGATAAGTAGAATTCGTTAATTAACCATCGAATAAGCTGTATATTAACATTGCACGCACGCCTTCGTGTGACTGTTTCTTGTCTCTTAATTCTATTCCACAAGCACTAGTCAACTGCATGCACTTTTCCTTCCCTCAAAACCAGTATTCTTGCTTTTATGTGCCAACATTAAGCGAATGATTTTGACACTTAACGTTTAATTCGTAGTTACTAGTAAAAGACGACACATGTAGCTAAGAGTGCAAGGTTTGCACGTTTGTCCTAACAAGTTATAAGTACAGTACTTCTGTTATCGTCATCATTGTGAATAAACCATTGGGTTATTATCGCTTTCTGTCTCTAGGTTTTTATGCGCATTGGTTTATGTGCGTTGTTTATGCCGGTTTTTATGTGTTTTATTTACGAGCTGTCAATAAATTTGATTTCGTGTCCTTTATTAGGCGCAACCGTTCATAATATTCAATAAATTTGAAAGAGCTTAATATTTCATAGGGTATTCGTTGGCATACTAGTACTGGTTCTAAACGGGCATCTCATAATAAATTTTCGACTATTCGAATTGTATGTCTAAAAAGTTTATTCCCTTGCAAATTGTCTCAGTCTAAAAAAATTTTCTGTGACAATGAAAGCAAATATGTTAGTGAAATTAAACCCAACTTGGTAGAAAAAAAATATGAAAACTACCATGTAAATATTAATCTCAATCGGAAAATGGATAAGACAGTATTAATACTCCAGTTTCATGTTGAATAGCTAACACATCAATGACTAAAATAACAACGGTCGGAAGAGATCCTATTATTATGACGTCAACTGTTATAGATAATATTAAATGTCATGTAATTAATACACCACATATAAAGTTATAATCACATACGTTTCTGCGTTTACCAAGTTATTCTTTATCTCCACAGTTTCAATAAAAAGAAGAGTAGAATACTAATCAAAATGAGTAAAGTTATGTGGTTGTGATTATGATTCTTATCCCTCAAAACACAATTTGCTTCTTTGCTTGGATACAGTTTGTTTAATTCTTGAATTTTACTATTTACCTTAGATCTATCATCATATAGTAAAACATAGAGCTTGTTCTTTGCCTTAGCATATTCTTGATCAGCTGCCTTTTCATATAGCTCAATTGCTTTTCGTTCATTTTTTTCTACCCCAATTCCATTCTCATAACAATAAGCAAGCTTATATTGCCCAATTGCATGGCCTTGTTCAGCTACTCTCTGATATAGTTCAACAGCTTTTTGATAATTTGTTTCTATGCCACCAGTTCCAAGTTGATAACACTCACCAAGATTGCTTTGTGCAACAAGATTGTGAACATCTTTAGCTGCTTTTTGAAACAATTCAACTGCCTTGTGCCTATCTTTCTCTACTCCAATTCCAAGCCAATGACACCAACCAAGAATATTTTGTGCATTAGTGTTTTCTTGTTCAGCAGCTTTTTGATACCATTCAACTGCCTTTTGTTCATCTTTTTCTACTCCAGTTCCAAGCCAATGACACAAACCAAGATCAGTTTGTGCATAAGTGTTTCCTTGTTCAGCTGCTTTTTGGTACCATTCAACTGCCTTTTGCTCATCTTTTTCTACTCCAGTTCCATACTGATAACACACACCAAGATTAACTTGTGCATAAGTGTTTCCTTGGTCAGCAGCTTTTTGATACCATCCAACTGCCTTTTGCACATCTTTTTCTACTCCAGTTCCATGCTGATAACACAAACCAAGATCAGTTTGTGCATAAGTGTTTCCTTGTTCAGCTGCTTTTTGGTACCATTCAACTGCCTTTTGCT